CTGGCTGTCAGTTCAGAGCAGCATCAGAAAAGAGCTCCAGTGATAGCTTCCCAACAGCCACTTAGTGCTGAGATGTGGTGGGTAAGAGGGACATTAAAACAGCCTGACATCAATCCAGCCAGTTAATCCTGCTGCTCAGTGATGGGGCCACCTGGAATCACTGGTGAAGCTGCGTGGATGGGCAGGAGGCTTTCAAAACTAGAAAAGGACTTGAGTTGAGGCACTTGGAGGATTAATTTGTGCTTTTAGTGCTCCCTTTTTTTTTTTTCAGAAGGTTTGCTTGGTGCTTGCATCACTACAGTGCTCTGGGTTTGTGTCCATCACGATGGGTGTGGAGATGGACACGGGTTCAATGAGATGGGAAGATGTTCCAGCACGTTGTCTGTTTTGCTGGCCCCTTGTCACCTGTCATCCCCCGGGGCTAGGAAAGGGGGGATTGAGCAGGGAGGTGAGAGAAGCCTGGAGATACTTGAGAAGTTCAACCTGGGCAAATGGCTGGTAGAGCAGAGCGAGGAATTCCAGGCTGGATGGGATCTCTCATTCCCACCCCGTAAGGTCAGTGGGCAGTTGTTCATCGGCCCAGTAACCCAGCTTTGCCTTCCCCCGCCCTCTGCTACCTCCTGCCAAGCTTGGTCATGGAAAATGTTAATTAATGTCATTCCCAAGGCTCAGCTGGGACCTTGCACCAGTTGCTGCCTCCTCCTTTGCCAGGTCTGTGCTAAAGAAGGTTGTGCCCTGCAAACCTGCTCGTCCCTCTCCCGCTCCCCCTGGTTGGGCCATTTAAGGCTTTGTGGGTCGTTAGCGGTGACTTGAACTTCACCCAAAGCTGCCTTGGCAGCCAGGGAGAAGTCCCAGCCACAGGGGCTGCCAGCCCAGACCTGTCTCAGCACCAGGCACCACTGCTGGTCTCCTCTGGACAGGCTGCAAAGGAAACCCCAGAACAAGGAGACCAGGATGGGAACAGCATCAGCGGGATGATGAGCGACCTCATCAGCACGTGATGGAGCTGGGAGGTTTCTCCCCAAGGTGTTGAAGGCTGCTGTGAGTTTTCTGTTGTCTCTGTTGGAAGGGACAAGAGGGTTTCTTCTCTTTTTATGGTCCAACCTGTGGGCCATAATTAGCCACCTCGACAGGTGGAAGGGATCAGATGGCCCCCCAAGTGCAAGGTCACACCCGCAGCCCCTCTCAGCTTCACCCCGGCTGACACGTGGTGAGCAGCAAACCACCTTCCAGCAACCCAGCCCCAACCAGCTGGTTGCTCCAGCAGGGCAAGAGCAGAAGAAGCTGCTGTAAATAAACAGAAAGGGGCTTTTCCAGCCACCGAGCCTGGCAGGGAGGTAATTCCAACCTGACCATCCCAGTCCTGAAGCAGCAGTGATGGATGGGACGTTACGGAAGAGTGGGGTGGAAAAGCCATTAGAAACTTGAGCTGAGGACATGGCCCTGGGATTAGTGGCAGGCAGTTTGTTTTCTTTATTAAGTATCTTTTTGCTGTGGAGCCAATACATGGGATCTAGTGCCACAGTGGGCTCAGATTGGTCCCCAGCTGGGACCGTGGGACCATCTCGCAGCAGGGATTTGTAACCAGTCCCTTGGAAGCTGCATTTCTTGGCTTCCCCCCTACCCCAAAATATCATTCCTCAGCACTGCAGCATCACCACTGACTGCAGAGCATCCAGCTTTTTGAGGCCAGGGTCTTTTTTTCTTGCTCTTCCCATTCCCAAATCCATTTTGTGCTGGTAACTGCTGTGCACAAGAGCACGAGTCTGAGGAGGAACGGCTGAAGGAACTGGGGTTGTTTAGTCTGGAGAAAATGAGGCTGAGAGGAGACCTTCTTGGTCTCTGCAACTGCCTGAAAGGAGGTTGGAGCAAGGAGAGTGAGTCTCTTCTCCCAGGGAACAAGCGATAGGACGAGAAGAAATGGGCTCAAGTTGCACCAGAGGAGGTTTAGATTGGATATTAGGAGCAACTTCTTCCCCAAATGGTTGTCAGACCCTGGCAGAGGCTGCCCAGAGCAGAGGTGGAGTCCCCATCCCTGGAGGGTTTTCAAAGCCATGTAGATGTGGTGCTGAGGGACATGGGGCAGGGGTGGCCTTGGTGGGGCTGGGGTAGCAGTTGGACTGGATGATCTTAGAGGATTTGGGCTGTTTTGCAGCCAAAACTTTTTTATGACTCTATACACAAGCAGATCTCACATCCTTGGGCAGAGGCTCTAAAGAGCTGCCACCCTGCCAATAATTAGCAGTAATTAACTTAAGGCAGGTTAATAATTAATAGGAGGCTTGCAGGGTGTTGCCATCATCACATGGATGGAGATCTGGAGGTGCTGGTGGGCTAGAAACCTTCTGGCAGGCAGTAGATCTGATGTGCCATCAGGCCAACTTGCCTGTGTCCATATCCATGGCAGAGGAGTTGGACTAGATGGTCTTGAAAGGTCCCTTTTGACCCAAACTGTTCTGATTCTATGAAGCATAGGACTTTGGAGTAGTGGCTGAGCTTGGGTCCTGTTTGGAGATTTCCAGGTTGCCCCTTGGGTTGTAGACTTACTTGCTGTTGAAGATCCCTCAAACAGAGAGAGAAAATCATAGGAACTGGGTTTTTAAATGAATTTTCAGTGGAAAAGTGGCGCTGTTGCTGTGCTGTCCCCCCCATTGAGCCAACATCCATGTGTCCATCTGGATCCTCAGCCCTCCTGCTGCTCAACCTCTTCCCCAACCTCCAGCAGATGAGCTCCTTGCTCCAGCTGCCAACTTCAGCCCTGCCTCGGGCAGCAGATCTGCCAAACCCTTCTGCCCTTTTGAGGAGAGAGCTCCCATGGAGAGGAGAAAGCTCCCATGGCTCAGCAGGGCTGCCACTTCATCCCAAAGGTCAGCGTGGGGAGCTGGTCCTACACCCCCAGAGTCGAGTTGCATTAAAAGGGCAGGAGCTCATCTACATCCCAAGGCCTTAGGAAGCTGCATTTTTGTAAACAGGCAAAAAATGATCATGTTGGAACCCTCAGAAATGGTCCTGCTGGAACCCTCAGAACTGGTCATGCTGGAACCCTCAGAACTGGTCATGCTGGAACTCTCAGAAATGGTCATGCTGGAACCCTCACTGTGTTTCTCCTTCCATGGATTTTTCCCCAAAACACATGCAAAATCTGAACAAACTCTGTGCTACCCTGTAGCAAGGAGGTTTTGCAGTGTGGGGCATCCAAGCCTGGAATGAGCTCTTGGGGGCAAAAAGTAGGCTGTCTCTTTGCTGGTGGAGAAGGTGAACAGGAGAATGGGTCCTGGTGTTGTGGACCCTTGGTTGTGCCGTGTGTGGTGGGTTGTGTCTTGCCATGGGTGTTGTGGTGGCCTGTGAGAGGCAAGGTGGGTTCATCAGCTTGATGGTGGGTTGTGGAGTCTCCTTCTCTGGAGACATTCAAACCCACCTGGACACGTTCCTGTGTGATGTGCTCTGGGTGACCCTGCTCTGGCAGGGGGGTTGGACTGGGTGATCTTTTGAGGTCCCTTCCAACCCCTATGATTCTGTGATCAGCTTGGAGGGTGCATCCTTGATGAGAATGGGTCTCCTTGGACATTGTGGGACTGAGCAGGGCTCCAGGACCTTTCTCCCACCCTTCATCCCTTGGGATACACTGGGATGAGCTCTCTGGGTTACTGGGTGGTAGTGTCATGGGCTCGGGAACAGTTGGAGATTAGGGAGACGTGGTTCTTTCTCCTTGTCCCCAACCAAAATTCCCAGCCACCCATGTAGAAATCACAGCTGAAGGCTTCTCCTCTGCCCTGTTCACCTCTTCCTGCCATTACCACTGCCAAAAAAAAAAAGCCATTTACCAGCAGAAAGCCCTGTCCTGGGGAAGCTGTGGAGCACTTCCAATGTCTCCCTCTCACTGTGGGGGTGGCTGTGAGAATTGCTGCTGGGAGCCACCAAAATGCTGGGCTGGGAGCACAGAAACACTTAGAGGAGTGAACATCTTGATGCCATTGTTTTGACAGTGTTGTGACCATGCTATGCCTTCTTGGATAGGAGAACATTAGCCAAGCTCCTTCCTAAGTAGACTGGGTTGGTCTCCACCTGTGGACCACCTGAAGGAGGAGGCTGGTCCAGGCAGTAGTTCCACAAGAAGTCCAAAAAGGAACATGCTTCCTTTCTGTTCTCCCATGCTCCTTCCCACGTCCCAAGCATGTCTGGAACAGGAAAGTCCTGTCTCCTCTCTGAAACCAGTGGGACCTCCCAGCATCACCACCTTGGAGGTAGATCATTGCTGTTGAGACTTTGGTTATTTGGATCCTTAAAATGAGACTCTTGGAAAGTTGTGGTGAAGTGCTTGGCATCTCCCAGAGGAGACTCAATATTTCCTAATAGTATCCTGTGTCCAGTTCTGGAATCTCCAACATAAGAAGAACATAGAACTCCTTGAGTGTGTCCAGAGGAGGCCACCAAGATGATCAGAGAGCTGGAGCACCTCCCCTATGAAAACAGGCTGAGGAAATTGGGATTGTTCAGCCTAGAGAAGGGAAGGCTCCATGGTGACCTTATAGCAACTTTCCAATACCTGAAGGGGCCTACAAGAAAGCTGGGGTAGGGCTTTTGACACGGGTGTGTAGTGAGAGGACAAGGGGCAATGGTCTGAAGCTGAAAGAGGGGAGATTCAGGTTGGACATTAGGAAAAAGTTCTTTGCTGTGAGGGTGGTGAGATGCTGGAACTGGTTGTCCAAGGAGGTTGTGGATGCCCCACCCCTGGAGGTCTTCAAGACCAGGTTGGATGGGGCCTTGAGCAACCTGATCTAGTGGGAGGTGTCCCTGCCCATGCAGGGGGGTTGGAACTAGGTGATCTTTAATGTCCCTTGCAACCCAAACCATGCTGTGATTCTATGATTTGTCATGGGATCCTTCTCTTCCCTTAGCAACGTGTTGGTGCCACTTGAAGGAACCCACCTCTGAGACCCTGTTCTCCTCTCCAGGTTCTCCCTGCCTTTCCTGACATAGCTCTCTTGTTTCCCTCACAGTGCAAGAAGAAGCACACGCTGGTTTGCCCCGACTTTGCCAAGAAGGGTGTTTGCCCCAGGGGTGCCTGGTGCAAGCTGCTGCACCCACAGAAGAAGCGTCACTCAAGAGAGGAAGAGGATGGGGACCGCAATGAGCCCCTCTCCAAGTGGAGACGGGTCAAGGAGGAGACAAACAGGTGGGAAAGAGCAGAAGAAACTCAACTTTGCTGCTCTTCACGTTTTCTTTCTAACCTGCTCTGGATGTTTCCTCTTCCAGATGTGTCTCTGTCCATCTGCTGGTTTATTTTAAGGTGTTGCTGATGTGGGTCACTGTGGTGCCTTCTTGATTGAGCCACCATGGGCAGTAGGGTTGGGCAAGGAAGAGGTCTTCAGACTGATGGAGAGGGTCTTGCAACCCAGTTTGCTGTTGGAGTGTGGGTGTCTTCACCCTTAGATATGTGCCATCCAGGGCTTCATCATCTCCAGGTATCTCTGAGGCTTTTGTAGATCTTCTTCCTGGATGATGCAGGAGTCCTGATGAAGACTCCACCACCAAAAGTGGACACAGTTTATCCATAGCCCTGTGGGAAAAGGGAAACCATCGTCCTTCTTCCTCTCTCCAAATCCATGGTGGAGAGCAGAGCTGAGCCCTCAGCATGGCATGAAGGGGCTTCCCACTCACTGCCTGAAGAAGCAGAGATGGAGATACAACAGGTTTTGTAAAGCCTTTTGATGTTGGGCTGGTTTCTTGGTTAATCCTTGGAAGTTCTCTGACCTCTCTCTGGACAAAGATGATGCTTTTGGGTGCTGGGATGGAGCCCACAAGCAGAGGGATGCCTTGGTCATTGTCCCCACAGGGAGACAGATTTTCTTGAGCTTGGCACATCCTTGCCTTCTTCTGCTCTCATTCCCAAGCCTTGCCTGCAAAACGACTACATTTCCATGGAATTAAAGCTAAAAATCCTTGTTAGAGGGAGGAGAAAATCCTGACTTGGATGCTTGGCTCCTCCATGGCTCTTAGAAGCAAGACATGGAGGGGAAGGTGGGAACTGGGAGCTGTGCCAGTCTGGTCTATGTTCTTGGTCCTGGGCCTCATCCTTGTCCTACCTTGTAAGGTAGCAGAGGGGGACGAGTGCTCAGTCAGCTCCAAACTTATCCCAAGGGTCAGAAGAGCCTTGGAATGACTCCTAGCTCATGCCCCCTGTGTGAACCAGGTGCAGAATATCTGCTCCTTGCTCTTTGTAGGGAAGGAGGAACGGATGCACATGTTGCCAAGAGGGATCATTGTATTTTCCCTTGTTTTTTTGCCTCCTTCAGGGATGATCCAGCTCAGCTCCATGATGATGGAGAAATTCCTGGACCCTCCAACGTGGAGCCAGAGGTGAAGGTTAAGAAAGAGAGAGGCACCTCACCAACCAGCTGGCTGCAAAAGCTGCCCTCCTTCATCTCTCTCCAGTCCTCACCATCCCCTGGTCACCAAAGCTGCAAAGTGGAGAAGGGTGAAGATGAGTCAGAGGATGAGCCAGGTAGGAAGCACTTGCTCTGCTTTTCCTCACATGTGCTCTGAGCTGGTTCCAAGTCACTGAGCAGGAGAGTTATTCCCCTGCTGCTCTCCATGGGTTTGGGTGGGATTGGTGTTCCTTGTGAGTCACCAAATGCTCCAGCTGGGGTGGCAACTGGGATTTGCATCTCTGGTCATGCAGATGGATGAGTCCCTGGCTTTGCTCCCAAAACCACACAGTAGGATTTTATCCTCATCTTTTATCATCAGCTCCTTCTTCCTTATCATATAAATTATCCAATGATGACTCCAATCTCACTCCTGTAATGGAGTTCCTGGTAGGAAGGTGTTTCAGAGGGATGTAGTGATGTTGTGCCCCATTGCTGGACCTGCAGAAGGACCTGTGGACCATCTCCAGACCTCTGGACCAACCATTGCACACATTTCCTGGGAAAAAATAAGCTGGGGAAAACTGTTGAAGTGCTGAGGAGAAGGATTTTTGTTTCTCTGCAGAGTGGCTCATGGTGGAGGTTGGCTGCATTTCTGCTCCTCCAACATTCTCCTTGGTTCCTGCTCTCCTCATTCAGCTCCTACACTGGAAAACCCCTTCATCACCAGCAGCTCTGCAGAAGGGGAATTTGGGGCATTCTAAGGATGTGTCCATAGGAGCAGAGGTGATGGAGAGAGTGAGGAGATCATGCCTTGTCCTTCCCAGTGCTGGATGGGAGGTTTTCAGTTGGATAATGCTTCACCTTTTCCCCTCCCGTCCTTCCCTGGAGGGATGTGGAGCATTTCCCGAGCACCTTTTCGTGAAGGGAAACAGCACCTGGCACAGATCTCAACATGTTTTCACAGAATCATCTCCAAGGCTGGAAAAGCCCTTTCAGATCACCAAGTCCAGCCTATGACCAACACCATGGCCCTAAGTGCCTCCTCCAGCCTTTCCTTGAACATCTCCAGGGATGGTGCCTCCACCACTTCCCTGGGAAGTCCATCCCAATGTCTGATCACCCTCTCCATGGGGAGGTGCTTCCTGATATCCAACCTAAACCTCCCCTGGAGCAACTTCAGGCCAGGCCCTCTTGTTGCTACTTGTCTGGAAGGTAATGTGGCAGTAATGATGAAATCTCCACCACCAGCTTGGCTGGTAGAAGATGTGGCTTGATATGAACTGAAGGGCTGGAGCATCTCTCCCTGTCTTTGATCCTGTGCCTGCTCTGACTGACTGCGGAGCCGGAGCACGATCCCACTGGGAAAAGGGATAAACTCAGCTCTAAAAGCCAGGCTGGGGCTTTTGCCCTGTCATCCGTAAATGGGTGCTGAGGATTGCAGAGCTTTGCCTGGCTCAACCACAAAGCTCTTCGAGCCAGGGAGGGCTGAGATGCCTTAACACTGTCGGAAAGAGAATTCCCAGGATTAGCAACATATTCCTGAAGTCACAGGCGAACGCGGGCGCTGTCGAGCCACGGCCTGGTGGAGAGGGCAAGGGACCATCCCAACTGGGAAAAGCTCCATGACGTGGGGTGAAGCTCTGGGCTTCCCTTTCCAGCAATTTCTTCCCCCCACCACGTCCCTCCCTCCTTCCCTCTCCTTGGCCCTGGTTCAACTCCCTTTTGATCTCGGCAGCAGGGCCGAGGAAGTGATCCCAAAGCAGCGACTAAATGGGGTTTTGATGTCTCTGTGGTGAAGATGGAGCAATTCATCCATGGACAAGAAAACTGCTGGAATGCCCTGGATTGTACTTAGCAGCTTGGAGTAACTCAGTCAAGAGGGTAGAGGTATCATCCTGGCATTGAGGACATCTTATTCCTCTTTGCTCTGGTTTGCATGGTCAGGGAAGCATGAATTCCAGATGTTTTGGGTGGGAGGATGAGTAGGAGGAGCTGGTTGAGTCCAAGGATGTTGTGAGGAAGGAGCTGATAGATACAGGATCCTTTCCCTTTGCCTGGGGAACACGTGGCATCAGAAAAGTGGATGCTGGAGGATCCATAGGAAAGGAAAACAGGGCAGGAATTGCAGATGGCTGTAAAATCATCTGATGAGGAAGCAGGTTCTGTCCCAAAGGGCTGCAGTGATCGGGTGAGCCCAAGGATGCTGTTGGGTTCCAGGCTTTGCTCCTGCTCAGCACTAGGGTAATTAAAATCTCATCAACACACAAATGAAGGGGCTCAGGGGCACAGCAGCAGCCAGGGACCCCCAGAACCTAATGGGAGAAAAGGAGTCCTGGCCACTAACTAACCACCATCCCAAGAGGGCACAGGATGAGGTTGTTTGTGCTACTAATGGACCATAAGCTTCGTGGTGGCCAAATCACAAGGTGTTTTTAAGCCTGAAGTTCTGGTTTGAGCTGAGTGAGTGGTCAGGATGAGTCCTCCAGTATCTCCAGGTAGTATCTGGTGTCAGTGATGGGGTCTGGGGGGGTCTGTGCCTACCCTGCTTGCAGCCTTCGTGCCAGGGATAATAGTGTGTTTCTGTCTGCAAAGCCTGAAGGTAACATGCAAATTGGTGGGATAGTAAATAAGGAAGACAGGTTATGATCATAGAGTGAGCTGGATTGCTTGGTTAAATGGTCACAATTTGAGGAAGTGCCCTTTTAATACTGGTAAATGCAGGAAGAATGAAGAAAAAAACAGTGTCTGTGCAGGAGGGATGGAGCAGAGAGGGGGTTGGAGATGACCTTTAAGGACCAGCATGGGCAACAGCATCAGCTGGTGGGGTTCCAGTGGGATCTGCAAGCCTCTGGCCCTGGGATATTTAAAAAAAAGGGACTGGAAAGCAGAGATGGGATCTGCATGCGTGAGTCCTCCTGCAAGAGGAGCTTTGTAATTTGGGTTCAGAGGAAGGATTCAGAGGGTGCTGGGGCTTTCCAAGCATCCAAAATACCCATTCATGCGACACGAGGAGCAAAAACTGCATCCAGCCAAGCATCCCAGCTAGGAAGGGTGAGCTGGGTGGGTGAACACCTCCTTGTGTTCTCCATCCATGAGGGCAATGCTGAAGGGAATCCGGGCTCCCCTGCCCCTCCCACACCCATTTCCAGGTAATGGGCTTCTCCATATTTCACCTTCCAGTTAAATAGCCTGCACTGGAGCCTAACTGGTCTCCCCATGCTAATTGTAAGCAAGCTCACCAATGCAAACCATTCCAATCGAGTGCTAATTTAATTAGAAAGCACCCATTTTAGTTAATTTGTTCGAGAAGATCACGGAAAACTCCTGGAGAGAACAGATGTTCTCCTCTCCCCCGATGAACATTCAGGGCTTTGTAAATGGCTCCACTCAGCCTTGTTTAGGAGAGAAAAGAGGATTTTATGGCTGCAAACGACCCTTTCTGTAAACATTTTACAGCTCTCTGCACGTTTGAGCGACGATAAACCCCGAGCAGCTCGGCGGGCTGCAAATTTGCGGCCAGACGGCCGCGGTTTTATTGTCATATTTCACGGTCGTAACGTTAATGGAAGATGCTCTGTACAGGCTTTTTTTTTTTTGTAACGGCTCCGCTGAGCACGCTCTGAGGCTTCCAGCTTTGGAGGGGTTTGGTTGGAGGTGCAGCCCTTCTGGGTGTGTTTACAGCTTCCACTTTCTGGAGGGATGACTCCGGCGATGCGGATCTTTCCCCTCTCTCGCCGAGCGGGCTGGGCACGTGTTGGAGGGTCAACCCCAATAGGGCCATGTGGCTGTGAGGATGGGCCAAGCTGTTAGTGTTGGATCATCTGAGCATCCTCAGCTTCTAGACCCCACCTGTGTCCAGTTCTGGGATCCCCAAGATAAGGAGGAGCTTCTGGAGGAAATCCAGAGGAGGCCATGAGAATGATCCAAGGGCTGGAGCAGCTCTGCTCTGGAGCCAGGCTGGGAGAGTTGGGGTGTTCAGCCTGGAGAAGAGAAGGCTCCAGGGAGACCTTAGAGCACCTTCCAGTGCCTGAAGGGGCTCCAGGAAAGCTGGGGAGGGACTTGGGACAAGGGCAGGGAGGGATGGGAGCAGGGGGAAGGGTTTCCAGCTGGCAGAGGGAGCTGGAGCTGAGATGGGAGGGAGAAATTCTTTGCTGTGAGCGTGGGGAGCCCCTGGCCCAAGTTGCCCAGAGAAGCTGTGGCCATGTCCTGTTTATGTTGGAAGACCATCTTCATCCACCCTGGATGATTTCAAATACCTTTTGGTCGTGGGTGCACCTTTCCCAGCCCAGAGAGACAGATGTGTTGGTACTCAGGCTGGTGGACCTCACCAAGATGGGGACTCCCTGGTGGACCTTGCCTGTCTTTCTGTAGTGATGCCTTATATCTGACATCCCTTGCCTCCATCCCTCCCTCCTTCCATCTCCATCCCTCCCTCCTTCCATCTCCATCCCCTCGTAAAACCCTGATCCTGCTGGATAATCCCATAAGGCTTGAGGTACCATCAGGTTTTGGGGTCCTTCAGATACCAGGTGTTGCTGAACATCGGGGTTGGATCTCCTCATGTCTTGTGAGCTCCAAGAAGGTCTGAAAGTCAGAAACTTCCCTGCCTTTTGATTTAGTTATTGCAAAGTGGCAAATTTAGGTGAAACTTCCAGTAAACCCAATGGACACTGTGACTTTTTCTAAGTGGACTCTTGCTCTGAATCAGAATTGTCTGTTTTTTTTCTGTCCTACAGAAGTGCTGTTGAAAATGTTCTTCTTTTATTTACCTTCTGCCTTGACCAAGTCACCTGAATGTTTCCAGTCCTCTTCCCTTACTGATTTGCAGGTGACTTATCAGACCTGCCAAGTCTCTCTCCTTTCCCAGGACTGACATCTGCTGCATCCAGATTAATTTTTTACCCTTTTTGGGTTTTTTGGGGTCTTTGCTGCCTGCGATGGTCTGGAGATCAGAGCTTTTAGGCTTTGCTTAGGATTTCTGAGGACTTCTCTCCTTCAGACCACCTCCACTGGGCAGCCCCCTTGTCCTGAGTTGTTTAGTGACCTGAAAACTGGAGGTAGAAGAGCCCTCCCAAGGTGTTGATACCCCGTCTTCTTCAGGCTAAGCTTCAGCTCACCAGTAAAGGACAGATGTGTTGTTGACATCTTCTCTTCATGGTCAAGTCACCATGTCCCACCAGGTCACGGTGTCTCTGCCATGTCCACAACCCAGCAAAGACCTTCTCCCATCCCTGCAGCTTGTGCTTGTTTTCTTGTTGCTTTTTTTTCATCCAAAAAAGAAGGAATTAAGGAGAAGAGACGTAGAAAGGACATCCCAGCATAGATGTCCTGCTCTGCAAGTGTGGTAGGAGATTGGGCACTGCCAGACACTGATGGGACATCTCCTCCATCATGTCCCTCCTTAAAACACACTGTTTAGGAAGCAAGAAAGCATCTGAGCATGTTTTTCTTCTGGACAAAGCTTCTCCTGACATCCCAGCCCTTGAGGTTCCCTCACTTGAGGGGCAGAAAGTCATGGTGGAACAGCAGGGGGAGCTTTTGGTACAGGTTGTCTCACTTGGATGGATTTAGGGATGAAGCCAAAGAGCTTTTTTGTGTGAAAAATCATTGTGCTGAAAATTCTGGGGCTTGACTCTTGATGATGACCCTTCCATCTTGCCTTTTCTTCATAGGATTTATTAAATAATAATAATAATAATAATAACAACAATAATAATAATAATTTAAATAAAGACATTTTCCTGCTAAAGTTTCTCCAGGA